AGATTTATAGTGACAGATGATTGGTAAAAACGTAGCAAATCTATTTAGCAAAAAGATTTAAAATGGTGATTGAATTGAAAATGTTTATTTGTAATACTTAAAAGAAAATATTTTCCCTTAAAAATTACTAAATTTATTTATGGCCTTAAGTTTAACTACTTAGGCTGTTACCGAAACTTTAGACACATGGTAATGAAGACATGAAGAAGAAAAAAAATATTAAAATAGTGCGGTAAGTAAGAAAAGTCCTTTATGTTAAAGAAAAACGTTTGCTAACGGATGTAAATAAAAACTTTTTTTGTAGATTTACACTACTCAACACGTGTTAATATTTGTGTGACTGTGTAATATTACAATCATTCTTTTTCACTAATAAATGTATTTAGAATATGCACGATAATAATAAATACAAATCGTGATGAGCTAATTATACTTGTCCATCTTGTTGAATTTACACTACTTTAGTTCCTTTTTAGATACAAGGTATTATCACATGTACTATCCAACAAGCTGCAATTTTTTCATCATTTATTCATCTCAAATTGATTAACTGTCTATTACTTATTCCTGAGAAATTATTAGAACTTCATTTCACTATTTAGATCATATACATTCTAAATGACAAATAGAGATCTTGGCCGCTGTTTAGTATGCGATGATGTTGCAATTGGCATTAATTTTGGTGTACCAACATGTATGCCATGTAAAGCGTTTTTTCGACGAAATGCTGTTAAACTTGGTGTAAGCTAACTTTTCACATACAACTATATTTCGCATATCATAATTTGTTCTTTTTTTTGTTCTTTATAGACCCAAGAATTTGTCTGTCGATATGATGGTGATTGCATTATAACACATAAATATCGTCGTTCATGTAATTGTTGTCGTTTGGCAAAATGTTTTCGTGTTGGAATGAGGAAATCATCAATTCTTTCTGATGAAGAACGTGAAGCTCGAAATAAACTTGTAGCAATCAATCGACTTAAACGTGGTCAATTAACTCAACCAGAATGCCTCATAGGGGTATGTATATAATAAATATTAGAAATTATTAACGTAAGTTCAAATCCTAAAGGAAGAATATAGAATAGATACATCATATTATCAAACTATACAATCTTAATAGGTAATAATTTTCGTGAGACCTATGTTATCTAAATCGATATCAACTATAAGACATACTGCAAATAGCAAGAAATATAATAACTCTTTTTGAAAACGTCTCTTTTCGATCACTGTGAAATATAAAACGATAGGTTCGGATGATCTTTTTCAGTACCAGACTATCATAAGCATAGATATAAATTCTTTCACTGGTGGTTATCTCCACTGATCAACAAGCTACGGATTAGTTGATGACATTTTGCTGATCTGCTGGCAAGGTTTGTACATGTGGCGAAAAAAACTTTCTGTTGATATAACTAGACCTGCGATAATCTAGGAAGCGATCTGAAATCACTGATCGCTATTGAAAGGTGTCAGCAGACAATCTCAACAATATAGTTTATGTAATAAGTAAAGTATCTTAAAACCATTAACACTAAAATCAACATTACATTAAAGTCAGAAAGAAACATAAAAATGCCAAAGTTGCATCAGCAGATGACTCGTATGTATCGTTTAACGAGTATTTTATTGTTTTATTAACGAGCAACCAACCACTAAAATCTGTATCATCACTTTCCTGTAGATTTTCTCGAAGACTAATTATAAAGTGAGTAGGCTTCCATTATCACCACTTACTAACCATCATGTAGAAACAGTATGAATCATCTCTGTTTATCGATAATATATAGAAAATACGCAAGTATGTTTATCTTGTACATATTTAGAGCTATTCTTGCTATCCAAAATATACCTTTCTCTTATACTAAACGATAGATTAGTTCGAAATATACTTTTTTTTACATTTAAAAGATACAATTATCAGCATTATTTCGTATGCCATCAAAATCAACACAATATCTTTCTTCATCTGATCAAATGCTTCTTACTAATATTTTCAATGCATATGAAAATACTTGTATACTAGCAAGAAACACTACTTTAAAAAATTATCCTACTGTTCAACATACATCGATACATGGATTCGCGAATGAAATAGCAGCTGAATATGAAATTGCTTTTGAATATTTAAAACTTATACCTGAATTTAATAACCTCACCATGGATGATAGAGTGCGTCTAGTAAAAAATCATCCCGGTACGATTATTCATATAAATGAACCTTTAATGCATCCAGGACCATCTAATAATCTTGTGGGTACATGGACCAATATCTTTGGCCTTGATATAACTAAACGTCTTTTTAGACGTAATCGAATTATTGAACAATTTATCTTTGATCCTATTATATTAAAAGTTGTTCTCA